AAAACAATCTAGTTAGATTTTCCTGGGTCTGTATGAGGATTTTCCGAGAACATTGTAGAAAATCAAACAAGTTACTTTTAGCCAATTACTTTCAAAGGCAAAAATTATAAAAGAGCCATGAAAAAAATTTTAAATAAAAATGATATTTGAGTGGGTGGGTATAGCTCAGTGGTAGAGTACATGCTTAGCATGCATGAGGTCTTGTGTTCAATCCCCAGTATCTCCACTAGAAAAATTTCTTTGATGTGGGATGTATATGTATTTTAAGATGTTTAAAGTGATATGACGTGGGAACCCCAAACTAGGAGAATTGAGGGCTTATGAAAGACTTAAGCCAGCTAGACCAGTGAGATAGTGAGCTGCTTATTCCTGGGGTGGAAGGTGGGTAATATCACAGAGGCTGGACAGCCAGAGTTTTGTGGACCCAGAAGTGCCTTTCTGTGACTGTGAGCAGATGGTACCCCTCTCTGGGCCTCAGGGTCCTCCATAAAACCAAAAAACAAATATGCAAAAATCCTTTAACCTCTTAAACCTCTAAAAACTGTCTGAAGACGTTGGACTATGTGATCTCTCTCCATCCTCGAGACTCTAAAATGCTATGGACCATCCCCTGAGCTTTGATTCCAGGAGCTATTTATTTTGAGCATCAGTTTCTGCAGAGCCCATAATCAAGGATTCAACTTCTCTCACTGCCGGTGTCTCCCTCGGAGAGGAAATAGACCGGTCGGGCTTTGTGAGCTGGCATCTCCCCTCTTTAAACATAACCGAGGCCCCGCCCTAGGGACTGGGCAGAGAGAAAGAGAGGCTTTCCTCCTAATCCATTAGTATACTGGTTTGTAGTTCCTGCCCTTCAGTGTTATATCAAAGGGAGGACCTCATGAGAAAGGATATTTTGCTAAGGTGGAGTATTAGTTTCCCATGGTTGTCGTAACTAATTAGCACAAACTGGGTGGCTGAAAATAATGGTAATTTATTTTCTCACAGTTCTGGAGGCTAAAAGTCCAAACTCAAGATGTTAGCAGGGCTGGAGGCTCCGTGCAAAAGCTCTAGGGGAGAGTCTTCCTTTGCCTCTTTTAGCTTCCAGTGGCTCCCAGTGTTCTTTGGTTTGTGGCAGCATCACTCCTGGCTCTTAGCTGAGCGCTACAGGGTTGGGTGATGGTGGATAGAGAGGGCGCTGTGAACAGTGTCAGGGAGAGGGAAGGATGGAGAGAGTGAGGAGTGTGCACTTAACCCCTTCTGACATTGGCTGGTACTGTCATCAGCAGCCCTGTAGGTTAGTGAGGGCCATTCTGAGCACCCATCTCTCTTCCTTGCCAAAGGAGAGTGCTGTATCAGTCATTTAGGCTTGATTCTGCTGCAGTCACAAACACTCCAAAATCTCAATGGCTCACACAACAAACATTTCTTCGTGTACTCGCCTTAGGTCTCTGATAGGTTGACAGCAGGACCGCTCCAGATCACCTTCATTTGGGGACCAGGCTGATGCTGATGGAGTGGTGGATTGGGAATATGGCTGGCCAGTCTTGTAGCAGAGAGATAAGAGTGTGTGATAAAAACCTTGAGCTGGTGCTTGAATCTACTGCCTGGAAGTGACGGTGCCATTCCTGCTCATTTCCCTGGCCAGGGCAAACCACATGGCCAAGTTTGATGTCGATGAGGAAGAGAAAGATCATCTCTTCCCAGGGAGGGGTGGTGAACGTTTATGAGCCACAGTAAGGCAAGCCTCAGGTGCCATGGGAAGAGCCCTTCTATCTGCTGAAAAGCTGTGTAGCTTCCTCTACTGCTTCCCACATGGAAGATTGCTGCTCATCCAGGCTTTCTTGAAACACTTAGTATTCAATTCTCCAAGGACTGTGCTATCTGCATGTTTTGACTGTACCCTACTCCCCTATTCTTTAACCTGTACTGTCCAGGATTCCCATCCCTCCTCATTCCCCACCACCTAGGAAAAAAAATCAAGTTATAGTTTCATGCCATTCTCTGGGAGAAGAGCTGCTGTTGGGACTAGGCTTTCCAAACATGATCTACTCTGAGCGTCTCAAGCATAGTTATTTTCACAGCAGCTGTGGGAATAACACTTTGCTCCTTCCTCTGTTTGCAGAGGCTCTCAGACTCTTGCCCTGAAGCCACAGATGGAATCATCTATGGATCCCAAGAGTCTTCAACTATTAAGGCAGAAGAAGCCTTAGACAGGTAGAGTGCAGCTTCCATGCACCCAGTGGTCCAGAGACGAACTGCCAGTGTTCTGTAAGTTCCCTAAATTGTAAGTAAAACTGTGTGAGAGTATATGTCCAGTGCATGTGTATTTTCTAGGGCCAGGAATCATAGCTTACACCGGATTCCCAAAGAATCTATGAATCCAGGAAGATTAAGGACCATGGAATCTAATCCATGCACCAAATGAACTGACTCTAAAGCATTAGCTAACTTCATCGAAAGCCTTTTCCCTACACCTTGGTTTTGTTTCAGTGCATTAATTTCTCTACAATTACAACCCCATCTGGGAGAAAGGAAGACGCTTTGGAAAGTAACACTGACTTCTAAAGCCAGGAGGGGATCCTTTGGCGCATTCCTACCCCAGCAATTATTCCCCTTTGAATGCCTGCAGAGCTCCCTCCAGCCTTCCCTTTGGTCTCCGTGGGGACTCATTATGTTTCTAACAGGCAAGTAGGAAGCCTTACAGTGCTGGTTTACCAGAAGAATTTGTTTCGGGAATTTCAGACAGGGCAGCTTCTGTCTTGTAAGGAAATTGACATCCCATGAAGCTGAATAGGGAATGACTGGCAGATGATGGTGATAGGCTTCATCAATATTACATGTCTACCAGGCAAAGAACCAATATGTTCTAATAGTACAGGTTATTTATTCTCCTTTATTGAAAGTAGTTGGAGGTGACTGGTATTTCCTTTCTACAGATAAAGAGACTTTGGGTCAATGTTTTATTAGCCTCTCGGAGCAGAGATTCTTAACAGTCCTTGGATGGGGCTTCGGGGATCTGTGAACTCCTGAAATGATCTGCAGAGACAAGAAAGAATTTGTGTATGCATTTAGGAGGGAAGGAGAGAGGGCAGGACGTGAGATTTTCGTCAAATTCTGCAAAGTTCCGACACTGTAAAAGGTTCAAAACCACTACCCTAGGGAGTCTGTTCTTGTAAAATAATTGGCAGATTATTTCAATCTTGACGTTCAGCCCTATCTTTTTAAATGAGTTCTCTTTCTTTCCTTGGTTACTGACCTTCACAACAGCAAACAAACTAGAAAGCAAGACCAGGAGGAGTCACATTAAGATACGTTTCCCTTACCTATCTCTCTTCTGGAAAGTTTAAAATCTTACTTCTACCCATGATCATCCCACATGTGTTGGAGTCCCAGTATGACAGAGTGGAAAGAAATCTTAAAAGTCTTCAGGACTCGTGGATGGGAAACTGAGGCTTAGAGTGGCGATCACACACATATTAAATCAGTGATCAAGTGAATGTTCATTCTGTTCTGAGAAATCAACTCCCATCTCAGCTGGGGACCTCTTGCCAATATTTTAAAACAAATGCCAATTCCATATGACTCATTTTTCTTGACACTATGCAAATGAGGGAAATGAGACTGAGTGTCCTTCTGTCCAGAGAGCAGGAAGTGAAGCCTGTCTGGGGCCACACGTTCCCTTGGGACACGCTGTAGTGTCAGAAAGGAGTTCTGGAAGAAGCAGGCCTTTGTCCATTTCTGTTTCACAAGTGAGCCCCTCCTCCTGGCCACGGCTGGAGAGGTGGCTCCCAACCCACTTCCCCTGGGAGTGTTAAACCAAAGCACATCTCCTCAGGATGCCCATTAGGGTCGGCTCTCTCCAGAGCTGCCGTCAGACCTCCTTTCCTCCTCAGCCTGGCTTCCTATCCAGGGAAATGTTGACTTTTCCTGCTTAGAGGTTCTGAGCCAAACAGTCCCTCCCAGGAGAAGCAGAACTACGGTCACAAGGCAGCTGAGACTTGGGGACCCGAGGAGCAGCGGGCCGATGTTGCTGGCGTGTGCCGGACTTGCTCTCTCTGTGGCTCTCTGCCTCACAGGCAGGCTGCCCTCTGGCTGGAGGGACCCTGAGCCTCTCCAACCTCTGTGAGGGGTAAAGTCTTGTGTTAATCTTACTGACGAGCAGTCAGTCGCAGAACCTGGCTGTGCCCTTGTTTCTTCCCAGGGGATGTGACGGTGTTTCTTCAGAGGGACCCGTGATAAGACACCTTCAAAATGTAGTGATTCATAAGAAGGATGTTCTTTCCTGCAGAGTAGGAAAGTTGGATGATCCTTTTACATATTATTTACTAGTTAGACAGATGAGAAAACCAGAAAGGGGCAGCTGCCTGAGGGCCCAGAGCCAGGAGGTAGCAGACCTGGGCAAGAGGCCTGGGTCTTGTGACTGAGCTGTGTGCTTGGGGCGGCTCTCCACCAGGCGTCTTTCTGTCTTCCCTCACACTCAGGGAGCTTCCTCTAACCTCAATCTCCAAATTGTACTGTGGGTTAACTGGTGTGTGTGTGTGTGTGGGGGGTCAAGTCAAAATTCCAAGAACTAAAGAATGCAGATCAAAAGATCTGCCAAAGCATCTAAGGGACTTTCAGCAGCAGCAGCAGCAGCCAACATTATCATCATCATCATCATCATCACTGAAGTATAGTTGATTTACAATGTTGTGTAAGTTTCAGATGTACAGCAAAATGATTGGGTTTTATACCTATTCTTTTTCAGATTCTTTTCCGTTAGAGGTATGACACAATACTGAATATAGTTTCCTGTGCTAGGACCTTCTTGTTTATCTGTTTTATATATAGTAGTGAGTGTATTTAATCCCAAATTCTTAATTTATCCCTCCCCCATCTAAGGGACTTTTGAACACATCATCATGGAAGTGGAGGGCTCCCCCTCTTCTTCAGCAGTCAGGATAGTGCGCAGACCCTGGCCTTCTGCCTCTAAGTTCGCTGGGTGCCAGGCCACGCCCAGAGCCCAGGGCTCCTACTAGGACTTGGCCACAGCAAGCTATCCATCCGCACACGTGTCCAGGGCCACTTTTTTGGGGGAAAAGTTCTCATCACCTGCCCCCCGGAGACTTGCAATCACGCCTCCCCACTCTCTCCCGCCCCTGCCCAGCCCCTCTCCGGTTGTGCAGGAGCCAAAGGGGATTTGTGCAGAGGAGCCACAGGCACAGGTCCAAGCCCAGCCCAGACCCAGGAGCTTGACCTGAGACAAGAGGATAACCCAGGACAACACACTCAACTCCCCGGACGAGGAGGGGCGGTCCGGCAGCCAGAAAGAAAACGCCTGGGCTTTTTATTGAATCCATAAAACAGGAGGTGAGGGGGTTCTGGGTGGGGGAGGAACGCCTGCTGATTTATGGCGCTGGTCGGGGGAGGAGGAGAGCAGGGAGCTCTTTCCAGCTCGGCGGGCGGCGTGTGATTCATTTCCCCCGGGGCCGCGGGGCCGG